TGTAATCACAATTTTGCTACATGTAAACCTCACAATAACCAAATTTCTGTAAACTCAGCATTGTAATGCTTATAGAGAATAAACTTTGAATTTGAATTTGAATTTTACATCAATATAGGCATTTTCATTAATCCATCTATGATATTTTCCTCAAAATTATATATGAAACCCATTAAATAGCATATAAACATGATACATACACTCACAAAATAAAAACTGATGTAGTAAATATGAGATTTGTTTACAAAGCAGCTGTGTAGGTAGTGTCAGAAGAATTACATTTTCTCTAGTCAAACTGGGGGATAACTGTAGAAAAATATTCTTTTTGTATGCCTTTATATATAGCAATTCATGACCCTTGTGGGTTTAGTGCTTTTTATTATAATAATAATAATAATAATATTATTATTATTATTATTATTATTATTATTATTATTAATTAGTAATAGTAATAATATTATTATTATTATTATTAATAATTAGTAATAATAATAATTTATTATTATTATTAATATTATTATCTTCATTCCATTCACTCTAAAAATGGTGTGTTGCTGTTTGTTTATTCTGAACTAACTTGTACACAATGTAAGAGTATTTGTATTGTGAGGTAATTATTATTATAATAAAAAAATATTGAGGTAAATGTTTTACAAACTCTTACAAACATACGTGAATGAACTAAAAGTACACACATATTAATACGCATTTATTTCGCCTGACCAAGTGATCGTCCACTACCTGTTCAGTTTGTGTTCTTACATTGTCTCAACTCTGTATCTCGTTCTCTCTCTCTCGTTTACTCTTTCGTTAACTAGTTGGCTCTCATTGACGATGGCGTCTAAGGTTAGCTGTGATAAAAAGAGAAGTCGTAAGCTTCTTGCTTTAAGTGCCAAGTTAGAGGATGATGGTGTGCCATTCTGATTTTATTCAATAAACACCCTGCCACTCACCTCTCACACATGAACATTAATATTTTAATGTAAGTAATAAGTGTACTCTGTGTGTATCTTACCTTTTATTGTGTTTTTAATGCCTATTTCTATTGCTAACTTAATATAAGTTAGTGTAAACTTGTTGTCTGGCATTTATTGCATATTTTATGTGTGCTCTGATAACAATACTTGTGGACCTGTGTGGTAGCCGGGTGGAGGGACAACATTACCTTTTCTCTGCTCAGCCATCAGAGAAAACATGTATGAATCTGCGTTTGGCCCAGCCACTCCCTCACTCCGCTTTTGTTTACAATTTTCGGCATGATATTCATTACTTCTACCTTCGTTTATGATGGCATCTAAAGGCAGTTGTTAGAAATTATTAAATTCAGTGAACAAGGTATGTCGATGTTAATAATATGGCTCTGGCCCACAGTGCCTTATGGCACTTATGTGTGCCTTGAAAGTTCTTTGTACACTCTCCAGGTCTGCAATGTCGCCAGCCTTGAAGGGGGCCGTTAGTGTACAGGAGTATACCAGCCTAGAGAGCATAAGCGATTTGAAGGGAATCATCATGGGCTTGACATGAAGGTTCTCATTATCCATCCTATCATTTTCCTAGCAGATGAGGTAGATACATTGTTGTGGTCTTTGAAGGCGAGGTCCTCTGACATTATCACTCCAAGGTCCTTCACATTACTTTTCCACTCTATTCAATAGTTAGAATTTGTTGTATACCCTGATACATTTTTAATTTCCTCAAGTTTCCCATATCTGAGTAGTTGAAATTTCTCCTCTTTGAACTTCATATTGTTTTCAGTGGCCCATTCGAAGATTTGGTTGATGTCCGCTTGGAGTCTAGTGGCGTCTTCGATGGAAGTCACTGCCATGGTAACCCAAGTGTCATCCGCAAAGGAAGACAGAGCTATGGGGTACATCTCTGTCAGAAATGAGGATGTGATGAATGGTTTGAAAAACCGACAAGTTGAAGATTGAGACACTTATGCAGCATATGGGAATCTTTATTCAGGAAACGTTTCGCCACACAGTGGCTTCATCAGTCCAATACAAAGAGGAAGGCATAAGGAGAGGAGGAGTATGAGGTAATCAGTTCCTCAGCCTGGAGTCGATGTGTTCAGTCCATCAATCTTGTAGAATGTACAGCACAGGGCCGTAGACGTGGCTTATATACTGTAGTGAGGTGAATAAAGATTCCCATATGCTGCATAAGTGTCTCAATCTTCAGAAATGAGGATGAGGAATAGAATGGGAGTGAGTACTGTATCTTGTGGAACAGAGCTTTTTACTGTGGCTGCCTGGTACTTTACTCTGTTTACTATTACTCTTTGTGTCCTATTTGCCAGGAGGTTATAGATCCATCTACCAACATTTCCTGTTATTCCTTTATCGCGCATTTTTTTTGCTATTACACCAAGGTCACACTTGTCGAAAGCTTTTGCAGTGTATACGTACTACGTATGTCTGTATTTTGATTATCCTCTACAGCATCCAGGACCTAGTCATAGTGGTCCAGTAGCTGGGAAAGGCAGGAGCGACCTGCTCTAAACCCGTGATGCCGTGGGTTGTGTAACTGATGGGTATCTAGGTGGTTGGCAATCTTGCTTCTTGAAGCATCAGTAAGGGGTGATTCTTAGATCAGCAACAAATTCATTTACCGATGTGGTCTTAGGAACGGAACTCCGTTGGTAAGTGAGGAGAGGCTGTATAACAAAAATCCTGCCCCACGCAGTGTATGATGGAATTAGCCTAAGAGAGACTTCAAAGTGGGAAAAATCATTGTTGCATAAAGTGTTCCCTGACCTCCAATTTTGCACTCGCATAATACATTTATACATTTATTTATTTATTTATTTTAATTTATTTATTAATCTGAACATGATACAGAGAAGTACAAATGAATACAGTTAAGTGCAACATGCCAAAGCCCCTTGTATGCAGAGCATTATGGGCAGGCTTAAAATTAACTTAAGATTAACTAAGCAGTGATATCTTCAGTGGTAAAACATTATTGTAAACAGATAACAATTAAGCATAAATGAGTATTACAAAGACAGGTCATATGGTCATTTACTGTGTTGCTGAGCATTCAGTAGAATGGAGTATTCTGTTAGGTAATGTAATTAAAAAATAATAGTTTGATTGGGTCTCAGGTTAAACATTTATGAAATACAATTATGAGATACAATTATGAGATACAATTATGAGATACAATTATGAGATACAATTATGAGAAACATTTATAAGATACAATTTTTAAGATACAATTATTCAGTATTTATTTGGTTGTGGGTGAGTAAGTGATTTTTGAGAACAGACTTGAATTTGTAAACAGACAGTGTTTCTTTTATATTTACAGGTAATGAATTCCAGATTTTAGGGCCTTTTATGTGCACTGAGTTTTTGCATAGCGTGAGATGGACATAACGAACATCAAAGAGTGATCTGTGCCTTGTGTTATGGTCATGTGTTCTGTTGAGGTTGGTAAGGAGACATTTGAGGGGAGGGTTTATACCCGAGTTAAGTGTTCTATGTATGTAATAGGTACAGTAATAAGTATGGATGTTTTGTATGGTGAATAGGTTTAGAGTTTTGAATATTGGTGGAGTGTGCTGCCTGTAGTGGGAATTTATCATCATTCTGACTGCAGCCTTTTGTTGGGTAATTAATGGTCTGAGATGGTTTATTGTTGTTGAGCCCCCATGCACAAATTCCATAGGTGAGATAGGGGTAAATAAGTGAGTGATACAGGGCCAGGAGGGCTGACTGTGGAACATAGTACCGTATCTTCAATAGTATGCCTACAGTCTTGGAAATTTGCTGTATATGTGTTTGAAATTTGAGTCTATTATCTAGGTGGATTCCTAAGAATTTTCCCTCTGTGAGTTTTGTGATAGGTGATCCGTTTATCATTATGTTAAGAGGAACATCTGTAGCTCTGTTACCAAACTGAATGAAGTAGGTTTTGTCAATGTTTAGAGTAAGTTTGTTAGTCCTCATCCAGGTAGATATTTTCTGTAATTTGGAATTTACAGTATTGGCTAGCAAGACTGGGCTCGGGTGAGAGAAGACGTACGTAGTGTCATCTGCAAATAGTGTGGGTTTGAGTAGTTGCGATGCATTTGGTAGGTCATTTATGTATATGAGAAAGAGAAGAGGGCCAAGGACACTTCCTTGTGGGACACCAACTGTAATTGGCTGTGCGGAAGAGTTTGCCCCATTTGTGTACACATATTGGCTTCTGTTGCTGAGGTATGACTTTAGGTAGTTGAGGGAGTGCCCTCTTATACCACAGTGTGACAGTTTTATATGGAGCAAGTCATGGTCAACTGTATCAAAAGCTTTACGTAAGTCAATAAAGATCCCTAGTGGGACTTCTTTTTCCTCTATTGCAGTGTATATATGTTCTAGCATGTGTATAATAGCATCATTAGTATTTTTATTAGGCCTGAACCCAAATTGACAGGGGTTGAGTATGTTTTGGGAGATGAGGTAGGAATAGATTCGCTTATGAATTAATTTTTCAAAGATTTTAGAGAGAGGGTGTAAGTTGGATATTGGCCTATAGTTATTCAAGTCTGTTTGGTCTCCTTCTTTATGGATCGGGGTGACCCTTGCTATTTTGAGAACTGTAGGGAAGGTAGAGGATTCGGTGGATTTGTTAAAGAGTGTTGCAATGATTGGTGATAGCACTTGTGACGCTTTTTTTGTATATAAAGGGTGGTAAGGTATTTAAATCTCCTGTCTTGTTTTTTAGTGTGTTGATAATAAGGGAGACTTCAGTTGGGTTAGTATTACATCAATTTTTGCTAGTATCACATAAATTTTTGCATTTTTGGGGTTATTACCTTTAGAAAAAATACTCTTAACTCTTTTAGAAGATAAAATTGCTTTTTTAATTTTTAAAAAATACCAACACAGAGGCATTCAATCAAGAGTGTTGACAGTGAAAGGTTCCTATTACTCAAGATTTTACTTAACTAAAATGTTTTAGAATATTACAAAAATTTTGTACTATCATTATATTCCACAAGTACTAATACTTACCTTAGCTACTTTCTTCACTGTATTACTACCGCTGACTTGAGACATGACATTAGACATCCATTCTTGTGATGTAACACAACAATTTTCAATATCCTTGAAATTTGCTAATGTTTCAGAAAGATTTCTAGATGACTGAGATTTAAGTACTAAATCTTTCAGATTCCTTTCCATCTGTGTGCCTTCTTGTACAGCCTTTTTGAGATCTTCATGCTCAGCCCCAATACATTCAAATGCTGCACGCATAGATAAAAGCAGACCATCAAGTTGATCACAGTAACTCTTAAGTTCCTTCACTGATCCATTAAGGGTTTCACAAGCTGAGGATGAATTATTTTCATGCTTTTGTTTCATTTTTGTTATGGTTTCTTTGAGTGGATTCAGGATACAGCCTCTTGTTTCATGATGATCAACTTTTCTACACACATCACAAATCCACTGCTGACATTTAGTACAATATGCAGATGGATCCACTCCAGCTCCTAAACATTGACTGTTATGGGGTGACATAATGTTAAATTCTCTTCTGGAGTCATTTTGACGTGGGAACTGCATACTCTGTTTTTTGTCTCTTGTCATTACTGGCTTTTCATAATGCTCTCCCATGAGAGACACTTTAGAAACATTCAACTGGTTTACTGGGCTATCAGTCCTGCTGACAGTTACAATAGCTTTATCCGTTATTTTTGGGATTAACTTTAAAATGCTTTGGTTACATGCAAGGTTCCTTGCGCAACGAACATTATAGGTTTTTTTCTTGCAAAAGGGGCAAGAAATCTCACTGTTGTTTAATAGCTGTTGAGCACATTCTGTGCAACATGTATGTCCACAATGTAGAGATTTTGGTATCTTCTTCAAATGATTGAAAGCTTCCTTACATTTATCACAAGTCAACATTCTGAAATAAAAGATAAGTTTGGTTATCCTTTTAGAAATTAAATATAAATGTTTTATTTCTTTTACAAGTTTATAAATATTTCCGTGACAGTTAATGCTACTGCTATATTAGTTGCAATGAATAATCCATGTACAGTTGCTTTAGAATTAATACAAATAAACTGATTTAATTTCAGTTTTAAATTTACACTTCACACTCAAATGGATCTGGTTTACTAATGACAAAGACTTGTTTGTTGAAGCCAAATGAGCACATTTCAGGCATTTCACCTATGACAGGTTACATTTATCATAAGATGCTGCTAGCAACACAATATGAATTGTTGTTTACATACATACACTATCAAGAATTAAAAAAAATCCACTGTACTTTAATGTGAAGATATGAAGGGATATGCAACCTTCTGCTTTATTTAAATGTTTTGCTGACTAATTTTACTGCAGAGGCTCTGGATTTACATAGTTCTGACTTTAGAGGTTCTTATCATAACCACATCTATAACCCAAATACGTATTAAAATCTACATCTATAATCACTCATTGTAGCCACAATCTACTTACAATCACAATGATTGTAACTTTGTTTTATATACGTACTTGTAAGTAAACTCAGGGACACAAAAGCCTTAATCAGGGTAAGTTCCCACAGCCTGTACAAAGATTTTGCAGGCAGCATCAGCTGCCACCGCTATTACATTCCATCAACTTCAATAAAAATAAAACCCAATTTACTACCAACCTGTTCTAAACATACAGGAACTTGCCACGCCCAAATTTGCATGACAGTGTCATCCACTGAAGACACTGCAGGACTCCAAGTGGACATCAACCAAATCTTTAAATGGGCCACAGAAAACAATATGAAGCTCAAAGAAGAGAAATTTCAGTTACAGTGGACCCCCGAGGTTTGCAAGCTTCGCGCTTCGTTAAATTCGCCTTTCGTAACATTTTTTGTCAAAATATTGCCTCGCAGTTCATAATTTGCCTCGTCATTCATAGGTCCTCTGAAATGCGTACGAGCAGCCGCCCAGTGTCAACGTGCAAACAAAGGGGCGCCACACACCTTTCATAGGCAGTGTAGCATTGTTTCCCAGTGAGTGAGCATCATCCCCTGCGTTCATACAAAAATTACGTAATAATCCATTTTTTTTTTTGTGCTTGCAACTGCTAAATAAGCCACCTTGGGCCCAAAGAAAGCTTCTAGTGCCAGCCCTTTGGTAAAGAATGTGAGAAATATGATAGCAATCAAGAAAGAAATTGCAAAATATGAAAGTGGAGTGTGTGTGGCAGAGCTTGCCAAGATGTATGGGAAGCCCTATACAACCATTGCTTCCATCGTGGCGAACAAAAATGAAATAAAGCAATCTGTTGTTGCAAAAGGGGTAGATATGCTCACAAAAAAGAGATCACAAATACTTGAAGATGTTGTTGGTGTGGATCAACCAGAAACAGTTGGCTGGAGATAGTGTTATGAAGTCGATAATTTGTGAAAAGGGATGGCAGCTGCATGACAATCTCGTAAAGAAAATGCCTGGAATGATTGCTGATGTTAGTAACTTTAAGGCCAGCAAAAGGCTGGTTTGAGAGATTTAAGAAGCATAGTGGCATACATAGTGTGATAATGCATTGCAAGGCTGCAAGTTCTGACAAACGTGCAGCTGAAAAATTCGTGCATGAATTCAAGGGGTACGTAGAAGCTGAAGGATTCCTCCCCAACAAGTGTTTAATTGTGACGAAACAGGCCTCTTTTGGAAGAAAATGCCGAAAAGGACCAACATCACGCAGTAGGAAAAAGCACTCCCAGGACACAAGTCTATGAAAGACAGGCTAACTCTCATGTTCTGCAGTAATGCTAGTGGGGATTTCAAAGTGAAGCCTTTACTGGTGTATCACTCTGAAAATCCCAGAGTGTTCAAGAAAAGCAGTGTCGCATAGAGTAATTTGTGTGTTATGGGGAAGGCTAACAGTAAGACATGGGTCATGAGGGAAATTTTCCTTGATTGATTCAATGAAGTGTTTGGCCTGAGTGTGAAGAAATACCTCCTGGAAAAGAAATTGCCACTCAAGTGCCTCCTGGGAATGAACAATGATCCTGCTCATCCTCCAGACTTGGATGACCAAATTGTGGAGGAGTTTCGTTTCATCACAGTGAAGTTCTTTCCCCCTAATACCACTCCTCTCATCCAGTCCATGGACCAGTAGATCATTTCAAACTTCAAAAAATTCTACACCAAAGCAATGTTTCAAAGGTGCTTTGATGTTTGACCCTAAGAGAGTTCTGGAAAGATCACTTCAGTATCCACCATTGCATAAGCCTTATAGATAAGGCTTGGTAGGGAGTGACTTCCAGGACAATGAACTCTGCTTGGAGAAAATTTTGGCCAGACTGTGTCCTCAGCAGAGATTTTGAAGGGTTTGAGGCTGACCCTGACAACCTTATGCCAGTTGTGGAATGTATTGTGGCGAGTGGCCAGGATGTGGAAGAGTTGGTGGAGGACCATAATGAAGAGTTAACCACTGAAGAGCTGCAAGAGCTTCATTAGTAACAGCAACAGACCACAGCTGAGGAAATTCCTTCAGAGGAGGAGGAAGAGAGATGGAAGAAGGTGCTTTCTTCAAAGATTAAGGACATTTGTGCAAGGTGGAGTAAGGTGCAAACGTTTGTGGAGGAACATCACCCTGACTAAAGCTTTTGCAAGCCGTGTCAGCAACATGTACAATGACAATTGTACATGTTGATCAATTTTTTGAGCGACAGGGGTCCAGTGCTCAAGTTGGTCCTAGTGCCACTCAAAAACAAAGAAGGGAAGTAACCCGGAAAAGGACTTGCTACGTAAAGTCTTTATGGAAGGGGATTCCCCTTCCAAACACTAGTGTAACTTCTCCATCCTCTCCCCTCCGTCTTCCATTCACCAACAAGTCTTCAATAAAGGTAAGTGTGGTATTATTGTTTTATACTTGATGTCTCATTGTTTTCTGTATGTAAATCTATATTTAATGTAAAAAAAAATATATTTTTTGTTAATACTTTTGGGTGTCTGGAACGGATTAAGCTGATTTACATTATTTCTTATGGGGAAAATGGATTCACCATTCGTAAATTTCGTCTTTCGTCAGACTCTCTGGAACGGATAAATTACGAAATTCGAGGGATCACTGTACTTTGATATGGAAAACTCGAGGAAATTAAAAATGTATCTAAGTATAAAACAAGTTCCAATCACACAATAGAGCGAAAAACTAATATGAAGGACCAAGGAGTGATAATGTCAGAGAATCCCACTCTCAAAGATCACAACAATATATCGCCCACATCTGCTAGGAAAATGATAGGATAGATATTGAGAACCTTCAAAACTAGAGATGCCAAGCCCATGATGATTCTCTTCAAATTGCTTGTTCTCTCTAGGCTAGAATACTGCTGCACACTAATGACCCTTTTCAAAACAGGCAAAATTGCACACCTTCAGAATCTCTACTACCACAGTGCTCTCAACACCAACTCCAAGGCTGAGGGACTGATTACCTCATCTTTTGTATATAGTTCTGTCTTCTAATTATGTCCTAGAATCTGTACTGATAAAGCCACTGGATGGCAAAACATCTACAATAAAAATAACCAGATGTTGCACATGTGTCTAGACAGGGATCTATTGATAATCCACCTTATGTATGCTGGGAGGCAGTTGAACAGTCTTGAGCCTCTGACACTCATTTGGTTGTCTGTTAGCATACTCATGGCACCTCTGCTTTTCACTGGGGGGAAGTGATGCTGCATCTCCTGCCAAGTCTTTTGCTTTCATAGGGAGTGATTTTTGTGTGCAGATTTGGGACTAGTCCCTCTAGGATTTTCCATGTGTATATTATCATGTATCTTTCTTGCCTGCATTCCAGGGAATACAAATCAAGGAACTTCAACCATTCCCAGTAATTTAGGTGCTTTACTGCACTTATACGTGCTGTGAAAGCTCTCTGTATATTCTCCAGGTCTACAATTTTGCCTGCATTGAAAAGGGCGATTAGTGTACAGCAATATTCCAGGCTAGAGTGAATAAGAAATTTGAAAAGAATCAGCATGGGCTTGGCATCCCAAGTTTTGAAGGCTCTCATTATTCATCCTATCATTTTCCTAGCAGATGTGGTAGATACATTGTTGTGATCTTTGAAAGTGAGATCCTCTGATATTATCACTCCCAGGTTCTTCACACTAGTTTTTCACTCTAATGTGTGATTGGGATTGTTTTATACTCTGATACAGTTTTAATTTCCTAGAGTTTTCCACAATGGAGTAATTGAAATTTGTCTTCACTGAACTTCATATTGTTTTCTGTGGACCATTTAAAGATTTGGTTGATGTCCGCCTGGAGATTTGCAGTGTCTTCGATGTGACACTGTCCTGAAAATTCAGGTGTCACCCAAAAAGAAGACAAGGTGCTGTGACTTACATCTCTGTGTCAGATATGAGGATGAAGAACAGGATGGGAGATAGTACAGTCATACCCTGCCCTACATCATTAATTGGTTCCAAGACTGTGACATAACCCAGTTTTTGACATTAATGGACATAATGCCTTAAAAAACACCATAAGACCATAAGACTAGCGTAAATAACTCACGAAAGAATATAACTACAGTGGACCCTCGACCAACGATATTATCGTTAGTCAAGTTAATCTTCCCCATAAGAAATAATGGAAATCAAATTAATCCGTTCCTGACACCCCAAAGTATGAAAAAAACAAAAAATTACCACATGAAATATTAATTATAATACACACAAACTGAAGAAGAAATGTACAGTTACATGACACTTACCTTTATTGAAGATCTGGTGATGATTGATGGGATGGGAGGAGGGGAGATTGTGGATGGTGTTAATGTTCAGAAGGGCAATCCCCTTCCGTTAGGACTTTAGGTGTCAAGTCCTATTCTGGGGTTAATTCCCTTCTTCTTTTAAAGCCACTAGAACCAGCTTCAGAGTCACTGGACCTCTGTCGCACA